CAGAAGAAATTATCTTCTAGGTTGTAGTTTTTAAAAGCTTAGGACTTCAAGAGAATCTACAAAAGTTTTGGATAAATTCTATGAGAGAGAGCATGAACAGAGCTTCACCTTAATCATCTTACTCTTTAAAAAAGCTTCCTTTACATTAAGACTCAAAAGAGATAATGCGTGTTTTAAGAACAGTAACAATAACATTACTCTTCCTAGGAGAAGTCTTGCTCCTCTCTTTGTTGGTTGTTTTGCCTGTCTGGCTGATACTCCTTGGTTGCTCCCTGTCTTCTGTGGGGGAGGCGAAGGCTGACTGTCCTATTGGTGTCTAAGTCTCCAAAAGTTATTTCAAGGGACTCCATGGAATTCAGTTCCTGAATATAAGAGATTGTTCTGGTTCAACCTTTTTTGTCCCCCTATTGACTGTTTTCACCTAAAGATGTACTTAGAGCCTTTTTTGTGGTGCTGGGGATTGAACCCAGGTCCTTGTGTAGGCAAGGCAAGCATTCTACCAATTGAGCTATATCCCCAACCCTCTTTTTATTTTATTTTATTTTATTTTAAAGAAGGATTCTTACCATGTTGCTCAGGCTGGCCTTGAACTCATGGTCCTCATACCTCAGCCTCCTGAGTTGCTGAAATTGTGGGCATGTATCACCATGCTTAGTCTAAATGTTTCTTCAATGGGGAAATGCCAAAACATTTCAGGCCTGTGTTAATTAGCTTTCTGTTAGTGCTAGAGATAAACCTTTTTCTCATTAGAATCTGATGTATTTTGGCTCATAAGTTTTGGGGATTTCAGTCTATGATCAGTTGCCCCCATGGTTTTTGGCAAGGTAGTACATCATGGTAGGAGTGTGTGATACAGGAAACTGCTCATCTCATGGCATCTAGGAAGCAAAAGAGAGGGAGAAAAAGGGATTCTATTGTTTTCTTTTAGAGCACACTCCCAGTGACTTAAAGACCTCCACAGTCCTTACCTCTTAAATGTTGTACTACCTCCTAATAATGCCAAGCTGGGAACCAAGCCTTTGTTTAACACATGAGCCCTTTGGGGGCATTGCAAATCCAAACTTATATGGCAAGGCCTAACCATATTCCATAGAATTCATTTGACTCATGGGAAGCTCACTTATTCTAGCCCTGAGAAACAGTGTATGCAGGTCATTCCATGTTCTCCTCCATCTCCCAGTCTTGCTTTCTCTGTCCAGTCTCCTTTT